ATCTGGAGAAGATAGTCAAGTAAACTGAATTAAGCAGAATAGTGCTTTCTTTCCTATGGTGAATATTAAGATTTGACGTATTAGGTTCCCCGCGCATAACGGTGCATTACCTTTGGCGGTAAAGTCCGCTTTTTGCCTCTAAGGTGTACCTGGATCTTTTCTACATTCACTGGTACCGATACTACTCGCAAATGTGGATGGACGGCCTGACCTCCTAAGTAATTCCCACCACCTGGTTTCCTTGGCCTAGACTGAACACACTGTCTGCGGACAATTATATAAATGCGGCTTGTCAGGCTTAGTGTTTTTTGATAAGCAATATGAACGCGACTCACATTGCAGACCCGGCTGGCTGATGACTCCAAATAAGCAAGATTAGCAACGCACTACCACCCCATCTTCCGTTGGTCTTGCGGTCTTGAGACTGGCATGCAAGGCGCACGCAACCACAAAATACCACGAGGGCTACTGCGACCAATCACATCTCTAGTTCAAGTAATTTAATCTCACTTATCGATTACGGTTTTCGATAATACACAAGTCAGTCGCCAAATCGATGACTCCACGCGCAAACCGTTTTACACCTCCGAAGCGATCGCTAAATCACCTGATTGTTTGCGAAGAAAAATGGTGACATGACACATCGAAATGACTGCCGAAATCAAATTATCTCCGCGGTAATTTTGCTGGAAACTAAGCAGAAAATATCATGAAAATCTATCCAGCCGGAACCAAAAAGTCGTTTTGATAGAAGGCGTACTTAAGTACCCTGGCTGGTGTCTTTATTAATCATCATAATACATCTGCTGATGACTACATTTTGAAACTCAAAGGACAGAAGAAATACCTGGATCGCCTTTGTGTGTCTGTGAAGGCTCGAAAGATACTACCACGGGCTACAGCAGCATCGGTTACTTTGGACCGAGTACCAGCTTCTGTATTTTGACACAAATAGGGTCCATATTGCTCTATCAGGTAGGATGGCCAAACAGGACCGAATACTAACTCTAAGTCAAAAAAACAGGCAAACAAGTTTCCCTCACGCATATTCAAAGCGGTTGAAAAAAACGTAAAGCGTGTGCTTTTTGCACTATCACTGGATGTCGATTGCAGGAATTGACTGAAATTGGCAAAACAAAATAATTACCATCACCTTCAGTTGGATTAAGCGTCGTGGTGTTTGTTTTTAACAAAAAAAACCATTTTGCACTTGAAATTATGTTTACGCACTGGTCATTTGCGCTCATTAAACAATGGTGATGTCGATATCCAGTGACGGTATAGGTCAATCAACACCAATTATTTTAAGTCAACCTCTGTAAATTTGTAGACTTAAAACAAAACACGATGCAATTCGGCAAACGTAAGGACCCCGATCTTTGTCTTTCTCGACAGTCCGCTGATGATTCCAGGCTGATGATTAAAAGAAATGAGAAATATGTGATCTCTCAACAGTGATAGCACTTGAATCTAAGAAGGATCGGGAAGTAACATCTGGGACCACAGCGACATGGGTTACTCTGGAGCCTTTGTTTTGTCATATAAGCATGATTACTGTTGTTTTATGAGTTAGGATAGTAGAAAAGGACTTAAAAACGACATGGAGTCCAAAGTCTACCCAAAGTTGCTCAGACACCTCGAAAACAGTGGGATGGAGGAAACGAAAAGGATGTTTCTAATACGTTTGCACTGTAAGTCGATGGGAAAATATAGACAGATTGCCGTAACAAATTGACCACCCTGACCTTAGCGTGGATTCTGAATCGATGCTTTTTTAAAGAAATATTTTTGCAAGTAAATTCTGTTTATGCGCTAAAAAATTGTGCTCACTAAGCAATAGTCATACCGATATTAATGTAGTTTTCTTGTAACTCAGCCCGATTTCCGTAAGCCAGCGAAACTTAAACTCATTATGGTAAGAAGATCGGTAAAATGGTCCCTGTGGGCCAGAAATCAATCTTATGATTTTTTTGGTTACCTAAAAATGGGTTCTTGAGAGTCTAAAAAGACAGTCAATCGCTCAGATGTTCGATACGCTGATTTGTATATGAACGGGAGAGAAGTCGCATATTACTCTGAAATGCAACCCGGTGGTTCAGGCAGGATAGCTTCAATTTTGACGCAGATGATATGTACAACAAAATGCATCATCTGCATCAGAAACCTTCGTTTTTATACTGCAAAACTATCTTAGGAAGACTGGAGGTCAAACGTCTCATAAATGTGGAAATTTTCGCAGTGATTCAGAACTTATTTTAAAGCAGTAATTTTTCCTAGCTGATTCGGGAGGACAGTAACAGTCGTCTTTAGTGATCAGAAAACCATTATTGTGTATTACGAGACTCGTCGTAAAAGCATTATACACTTTCGGCAATAAAGAGGAAAGAAAAATAAAAGGAAAACGTAGAGCGTATAAAAGAAGAAAAAATAGGAACATTTAGTACATATGTGTACACCGATCATATGCAGGGCATACCTGCCCTGGTATT